GGGGCCTCGGGCCCGGCGAGGGGCGCCTCCACGCAGCCCGCCCCTCGTCCTCCTTCGGCTCCTCCTCGTCCTGCCACATCCTCCTCCTCCTCCTTCTCCTCCTCCTCCTCCTCGTCCTCCTCGTCCTCGTCCTTGTCTTCCTCATCCTGCCACCTCCTCCTCCTCCTCCTCCTCCTCCTCCTCGTCCTGCCACCTCCTCCTCCTCTTCGTCCTCGTCCTGCCGCCTCTTGCTCCTTCCTCCTCGCTGCTCGCCCCCTCGTCCTCATTCGGCTCCTTGTCCTGCCGTCTCTTTCTCCTCCTTGCCGTCCTCACGACGAGTCGGACGCTTCGCCCCCCCCCAAGCCGGTGGCGCCCTCTTCGGCCCCATGCCTATGCCTGTCGTCGTCGTCGTCGTCGTCGTCGTCGTCGTCGTCGTCGTCGTCGTCGTCGTCTTCGTCTTCGTCTTCGTCGTCCTTCTGCTGCTATGTGCTCAGGATATGTTGGCCACGCTACACGACACCCCACGCCTGATCAGGCGGAGGAGGGGCGAGGAGGATACCAAGAACTCGAGCTCTTGGTATCCTCCTCGCCCCTCCTCCTCGTCTGCGGGCAGAGGGGAGGAAGCAGGGGAGGAGCAGAAGGAGGATGGGAGGCAGGAAGAGCACCATGAGGAGGAAGGCGGGATGAGGAGGAGGAGGAGGAAGAAGAAGAAGAGGAGGAGGAGGAGAAAAAGGAGGAGGAGGAGCAGGAGGAGGAGGAGGAGAAGACAAAATAATGCACGACGACTACGACGACGACGACCACGACGACGACGACGACGACGACGACGCTGGCGACGCCGACGACGACGACGACGACGACGACGACGACGACCACAACAACGACGACGACGACCACGACGACGACGCCGACGACGACGACGACGACGACGGCGGCGGCGTCGGCGGCGCCGCTGGCGGCGCCGACGGCGCCCGCGGCGCAGGACGACGGGGCGGGCGGGCGGCCTGGCCGCCGGCAGCTCCGGCAGGCCGAGGAGCGGCCCCGGGCGCTGGCGGCGGGCTGAGCGCGCAGCGCGCGGGCGCCACGGCCGGTGCCGTCGGTCGTGGTGCCTCCGCCCTCGTGTGCCTCCCTTTCTTCGTCTTGCCCCTCTCCTCCTCCTCCTCCGCCTCCCCATCGGCATCCATCATCATCATCATCATCATCATCATCATCATCATCATCATCATCATCATCATCATCATCATCATCATCATCATCATCATCGTCATCAGCAGCAGCAGCAGCAGCATCATCATCGTCATCATCATCATCAGCAGCAGCAGCATCATCGTCATCATCATCATCGTCGTCATCAGCATCTTCATCATCATCATCATCATCATCATCATCATCATCATCATCATCATCATCATCATCATCGTTATCATCATTCTCACCGTCATCACCATCATCATAACCATCACCGCCACCACTACCCCTCACCACCATCATCATCATCATCATCATCATCATCATCATCATCATCATTGTCGTCATCATCATCATCAGCAACAGCATCAGCACCATCACCATCATCATCACCATCATCAGCATCAGCAGCATAATTGAATGTATTAGTAGTGTTGCTTTTTATTGCCGTTCTTTTTTATTAGTAGTCGTTTGTTATCGTTTTTCATGAATATTATTATTATTGAGAGTCTCATAATGCGCAGAATAATAATAGCATTACTGCTGCTTATAAGTATCATCTTCCTTACAATTCCTGATAGCATGATCTGTGTCAGTATTGTCATCATCATTACTGTCATAGTTATCCGTGTTATCATTATTCCCATGAGCATCACTCGCACTATTCTTATCAAGGCAAGCATCTGCGGCAGCGTATGCAGCAACTTCATTATAGCTATTATCATCATCGCCATCATCCTGCCCTCCTTCTCGTTGTCGTCATCCTCCTGTTGTCCGCCTCCACCTCTTGCCCGCCTCCTCCTGGCGCCTGACGCTGCTGGCATGTGGAGCCACAAAGGATACTGCCATCCGCCCTCCTCCTCCTCCTCCTCGTCCTCCTCTGGCCCTTCTCCTTCTTCTTCCCGTTCTCCTCTTGCCCTCTCGTCCTCCTCGGCTCTCCCCCCTCCTCTGATTGCCCTCATCTTTTCTTACACTCGTCATTATGCTGTCGCTGGCATGTGGGCCTTTGCGTCTCACATCGCCGTCTGGGTGCCAGGCCGACAGCGAAGCAGCACAGGACGGCAGGACAAAGAAGGTGTGGAAGAAGATTTTAAAGCAGAGGACATACGACAATATGCCGCTGTAGGTTTGAACGGCAAGTAGTTTCAATCACCCTTCCATACTCCGCCCTCACCTCGCACAGCACAAATACGTGACATTGTAGACGCACTCGAAAGCAGGGCCAATGGTAAGGTACCCTGGGAGTATATGGCCCTCTAACCTCTAACCTTCTTCATCATCGTCATCGTTCTCCTCCTCCTCTTCCTCCATCTCTATCTCTCTCTCTCTCTCTTTCTCTCTCTCTCTCTCTATATATATATATCGCGCTCTCTCTCTCTCTCTCCTTCTCGCTCTCCCCTGTCAATAACTCCTCCCTGTCGGACCACTAGACGTGGCGTTATGCCGGGCCGTGCGTTTCGCCAGACAATTCCTCCTCGCGTGCGATTTTGAAGTGGTCGAATTTCAACACTTGCACGTCTGGCGAGCGAATGGGTTTTGCATCGGGCTCTGGCGCTGCGCACATGCTCGTCTCAAAAGCTCCCAGCCGGTGCACGCATGGGGTGGAGTCTCTATTGCAAGATAGGGTTCTCGCATGAGAGGTCTCAACACGCAGTACCAGACGTCTGAATTAATGGATCGGCTACACGGATCGAGGGCGGTACATGCATGGGGTGGAGTCTCTATTTCAAGGTACGGTTCTCGCATGAGAGGTCTCAACACGCAGTACCGGACGTCTGAGTTCATGGATCGGCGACACGGATCAAGGGCGGCCTTGTTTCACTACCGGGGCTCCGGTTTGGGGGATTTCGCTGCCCTGCCTGAGCAGAGGTCCAGAAGCTGCGCAACAGTTGCACGGATGGAGGGCGGCTCATTCTCAGGATGGGGCTCCTGCTTCCCTGAGATCCGACGCTGCGAGACAATGCAGCATCGCGAACCATCACGACAGGAGCCCTATCGACCACGTCTTTCTGTTGCCTTGTCCGAGGCGGATCGACCCGAGATGGCCCGAAGGGGCCCGAAGATGGGCAAGCACGCCCGGGGAGGGAAAAGTTGCAACACCAGGGTCTCAGGGTTCCTCCTTCCTCTCCTCCCCCTCCTCCTCCTGCTCCTCCTCCTCCTCCTCCTCCTCCTCCTCCTCCTCCTCCTCCTCTCCTCCTCCCTCCTCCTCTCCTCCTCCTCCTCCTCTCCTCCTCCTCTCCCCTCCTCCTCCTCCTCCTCCTCCTCCTCCTCCTCCTCCTCCTCCTCCTCCTCCTCCTCCTCTTCCTGGCGCGTTACCGAAGTTGTGACCGAAGGCGCAGTGTGAACGCAGCGGTGACCGACGTCAAGAAAGCATCGTATTAATGTCGAACCAGTTGGTGTCGAACCGCACATTTCGGGCACGCTCGGGCGTGGTCGCAACATTCCAGGCGCCGGTTTCGGTCACACTCGAGCGGGTGCTCGGACACAGCTTTGGGCACTACACCCCCCCCTGTAGAGACGAGGCTGCGTGATGTTTCTTTCCGTCTGCACCCCCCAACCATGGTAGAGCCGAGGCTGCGTGACGTTTCTTTCCGTCTGCACCCCCCCACCATGCTAGAGACGGGGCTGCGTGACGTCTCTTCTCGTCTACACCCCCCCCCTGCTAGAGACGGGGCTGCGTGACGTTGCTTCTCGTCTGCACCCCCCCCCCTGCTAGAGACGAGGCTGCGTGACGTCCTTCTCGTCGTCGCCCACCTGACTCCACCCGCGCCGCGTCGGCGCACCCGCGCGCGCGGCGACCGAGCCGCGGAGCTCTCCCCGCCCTGCGGCCCGCCTGCGGCCCGTCGCGGGGCGGGGGGGGGGGGCCCCCCCCCCCCCCCACCCCCCCCCCCCAAATGGCACACCCTCCCCTCCAACCTTCCTCGTGTCCCCCCCCCCCCCACCGCGCTCCCCCTCTCCCCCCAGTCTCTCCTCCACCCCTTCCCGAGCTCTCCGTCCTCGCCCCCCGTCTCCGGCGGCGCGGGCGCGGCCCCTCCGCGGCAAGCCGGCGCCCCGCGCGCGCGCGGAGGGCTCGTCGTCTCGGAGGCGTCCTCGCCAGAGAGGTGCGGGCGACGCCTCTGGTCGGCTCTCTCGGAGGCTTTCCCTGCCTCGGGCTGCCCTCCGGCTGCGGCGCCTCGCCGAGGACGTTTTCCCGGGGGTGCATCGAGTTGGAGCTGCCGCGGGAGCACCGAGCTCTGACCCGACAGCGAAACGACGAGGGAGGAGGAAGGAGGAACCCTGAGATCTGGCCAGGAGAGGTCCGTGGAGTGGCGGTGTCGGTGCCTTTTTGTCCCCCCATCTCGGGGGTGAGCTCCCCCGAGATCTGGGCGTTGCAATTTTGCCGCACCGGGCTCCTCCGCTGAGCGTCCTTCACGAGCGGCGGACGTATCGGTACCCGTGCCCTCGCGGTCTGGATTCCGGGGCGCGATCCCGCGGACAGGCGGTCGCACAAGTATGTTCCGCGCACGCACGCGGGGCATGCGCGAAAGAACGCCCCGTATCCGCGGTGTCGCTGCTTCCTCGTTTTGTTTCCCCTCGTCACCCCTCCTTTCTTGTCCTCGTTCTCCCTCCTCCTTCCTGTGCCTTCTTCTCCTCCTGCCTGTCTTCTCATCAGCTCCTTGACTGATCCATCTTTCAACCCATCTTCCTCTAACACTCCTCTCTCAGTCTCTTCTCCCTCCCACTGTCCTTCCTTCATTCCTACTTCGGCCCGACCCCTCGACGCCTAATTAGCAAAAATAAGTTTCCAACCAACGCATTCTTGACCAGACCAGTATGGCTGTAGATATCCTCGGATGTTGGACGCCCTTGACACTTGCAGAGTGTCACAGAAGTCTGAACATTCCGTCTTATTCGCAATCAAGAACTGCGGGACCACAAGGCAATGGAGGGCAGCGCTGCAACTGTTCCACGAAGCGTGTCGGTTACGCTCAGCAGTCGGCCTTGGATCTTACATGGCGATCATCGGCGCTTGCAGCAAAGGTCGGCAGTGGCAAGGGGCTTTGGCGCTGCTCGGCGAGATGTGGGAGGCGAAGCTGGAGCCCGACGTCATCGGCTACAACGCCGGGATCAGCGCGTGCGAGAAGGGAGGGCAGTGGCAGCGGGCCGTGGCGCTGCTCGGCGAGATGGGGAGGGCGAAGCTCGAGCCCGACGTCACCACCCTCTCCGCACCCCACCAATGGGGCCCTCGGGGCCAGTTCTGGGACCGAAGCCCTGCCCGCGGGAGGAGGAGGAGGAGGAGGAGGAGGAGGAGGAGGAGGAGGAGGAGGAGGAGGAGGAGGAGGAGGAGGAGGAGGAGGAGAGGAGGAGAGGAGGAGGGAGGAGGAGGAGGAGCACCGGGCAGCGCGCGCCTCAAGCAGGGCCCAGGGAGGCCCCCCCGCCGCGGGAGCCTCCGCGGCTCCGCTCCGTGGGGCGCCCACGTCCTGTCCCGAGAGAGCCCCGCGCGTGCCTCGAGAGGCCCCCAGAGCGCCCCTCTGCAGCGCAGGAGGGCTTCCAGGAGAGGAGAGGAGGAGGAGGAGGAGGAGGGAGGAGGAGGCGGAGTAGGAGGAGGAGGAGGGGGAGGAGGAGGAGAGGAGGTGGATGAGGAGGAGGAGGAGGAGGAGGAGGAGGAGGCCCCCTCCCCCCCCTCCCCCCCCTCCCCCCCCTCCTCCTTCTCCCCCCCCCCGAGGGCCCCCCCACGAGGCTCCACGGGGCCCCCGGCATGGCCTCAGAGAGGGCCACGAGCTACGAGGACGAAGCGCCATCGATCTTCTCCTGAGGTTTTTTCTCACACTTCCCAGGGCCTGCAGCATCGGCACCAGAAGCACCAGTGCCCGAGGCGGAAGACGTGCGTGCTTCCCAGGATCTGCAGCATCAGCACGAAAAGCGCCTGTACCCGAGCCGGAAGACGTGCTTAGGATGCGCGACCCCTGGAATCGTGGACGGCCGAGCCACCCTGGACGAGTCAACCCAGTACGCCCAGCTTGACTGGAACAGCATGTGCCACCGCCTGCAGCAGCTGGCCCGACTGCAGCCGGTAGCACGTGCCCATCTCGGGCCCCAGCGGCGATCATGACATCCCGCCCCCTCCCCCCCCTATGGCCAGCGAGCCCGCAAGAAGCCCCGCTCCCAGACGGCCTCTGGGACGCTCCCCAGAGGCAAGCCTCAAGAAGTTCCTTCGAAACGGATTCGATATGCTCCTCGATCCTCAAAGGCCATCGATGGCCTCTGGAAGGCCTGAAGCAGCTCCCTCCAAGCGGCTCCGGTCGACTCTCAGAAAACATATGATTTGGAAAAGCCACACCCCACATCTCTTGAGAGACCTCTCGCGCGGGAGGGGTTTCAGCCCCGGGATGCTGTTGCTGCGGCCCTCCCGCGCCGAGCGTGTCCCAAGAGGTGTGGGGTGCGTTTTTGTTCAGGCATCTTGGGTCTTCTCCTTCTGCTCCCCGTCGTCGGTCTCGTCCGCCACAGGCGATCCTGCCGGCGGAGTCGGGCCCGCACGATTTCCAGGAGGGGGAGCATGAGGACGAGGAGGAAGAGGAGGAGAAGGACGAGGAGGATGAGGAGGAGGAACAGCAGAAGGAGGCGGAGGGCGAGGACGGACCAAGCATGACGGCGAAGAGGGGCTGATGGTGCTGTTGCCAACGTTGCTACTGGAACTGCTGGAGCTGCTGCTGTTGCTACTGGAGCTCCTGCTGTTGCTGCTTGAGCTCTGGCCGCTGCTACTGGAGCCGCACTGCTGCTGTTTCCGCTGGAGCTGCTGCCGTTGCTACTGCCCACTCCCCTGGATCTGCTGCCGCTGATACTGCTATCGCTGATCTGGGCGCAGTCAGAAACATCAAGTAGACAGCGCAGCCGGAAGCAATGAGCAGCAGCAAACGCCCGCTGACCATTGGCATGCGTGGACGGTAGTCCACGGATCATCCCCAGTCCATGCTACAGTGCTCGGCTCATTGCGTGCGAGGTTGCGCTGCAGTGGCTGCGGGCCTGGGCGGTTCCCGGCGCTCCTGGGGCGGTCCTAGCCGGCTCCGATCGGCCGCCAGAAGGCCTCAAGACGTCCAACAACGCCTCAGAGACGCTCCAGAGAGCGCTTGGAAGGCACCAGAGACCCCGAATCGGGCCCCCAAAATGCGGCCCCCAGACTCGCCAGGAGGCCACCCACGACGGCCCAGCAGGGCCCCGATGCTGGCACAGGTTCCCCCAGAAGGTTTTCAAAAGGGTTTCGGCTTCTCCCCAGTCTTCATCAAGGACGACCCCCAGCGCCTCTTACATTGCGTCACCACTGCCCAAGAGGCTCCCAGGAGAGGCCTTCGATAGCCCACAAGGCCCCCCAGATGGCCTCAGGGCGCCCGAAGACGGTCCCGAAGAGCTCCAAGTTCTCCTAGAAGGCCCCAAGAGAGTCCCCACAGAGCCCTTCAGAGCTACAAGGCTGCCCCAGGACGGCCCCTAACGCGATTCTGCACTAACCTTCGGGCTGTTCCCTGGAATTGGCTCTGGGAGACAGCTTGGGAACGGCCCCAGAGGCGTCCAAAATACGGCAAGAGGCTTCTGAGACGCCCCAGACAGGCTCGCTGGATGACCCATCATGCCCTGGACAGGGCCCCAGAAACACTGGAGCTGTTCAACTTCGACGAGCTGTTCACCCACGGTGTGCGAGTCCCAGGTTCAGCACACCGTGGATTTAATCCACGAGTTCACAAGAGTCAGCTACAACGCTGGGATCAGCGCGTGCGTGAAGGGCAGGCAGTGGCAGTCTGCTTTGGCGCTGCTCAGCGAGATGCGAGACGTGACCTTGGAGCCAGACGCCATCAGCTACTGCGCTGGGATCAGCGCGTGCGAGAAGGGCGATCAGTGGCAGTGGGCTTTGGCGCTGCTAAGTGAGCTGCGGGAGGCGAAGCTGGAGCCCGACGTCACCCAATGTCACCCAAATCGCCCCAAGCCAGTCCAAGAGGCCTCCAAGGCGGCTCGAGAGAGCCCAAGGAAGGCCCAAGAGGGCCCCAAGACGGCCCAAGAGGCGCCCAAGGCGACCCAAGATGACCCAGAGATGGCCAACTAGAGCCACAGGTGCATCCCAAGATGGCCCCAAGAGCGCTCCCAGAGCCCGAAGAGGCCCCCCAACGGATGCGACAACGCACCCCCCGGTTATAGCATCCGTCGGGTGCTTTCTGGGGGCCCTCTTGGGGCAATTTTCTTCGAGGTCCTCCGGGTGCTCCCAGAACCCCCAAGAGAGCTACAAGACAGCTCAGGAAAAGCCCCAAGACTGCCCAAGACGAACCAAGATGGCCCATAGATGGTCCCGCTGCGTTCCCCTGCCGGGGCACCTGCGGAGTTGCTCCACGGGTGCACTAGTCTCTACTACATTACAGGGACCAGTGCATGCGGAGAGGGCGGGCGTTCGATACGTTTTTTCAGCGCCCCGGCCTTAGAGCGCTTCCAAGATGGCCCAAGCGCTCCGAGACGCCCCGGGAGGCTTCCAACAGAGACCCAAGACGTCCCAGGACGGTGCAAGAGGACCTCCGAGACGGTCCCAGAGCGCTCGGAGACGCTCAAGATCGCTTCCACACGGCCCAAGAGGCCCCCAAAACACCCCAAGTGGGCTCCCAGAAGATGCCGACCAGAGCAAAAATCATGCCAAACCCTCGGAAAAACGTACATGTTCGTACTTCCCGTGCTTTTCGTTTGTAAAGCGTCCCAGACGACAATACAGGCCCCCCAAGATCGCCCCAAGACGCCTCAGGAGGGCCCCGGCAGGCTTCCACGACGGCCCCAGACGGCCCTTGGACGGCTCCTGTGGCGCCAATGACAGCCCAACAAGCACCCACGTGGGCCTCCAGACGGTCCCAGGACGGCCTCATAGGAGCCCAAGACGGCCCCAGACGGCTTCGAGAGGCACCCAAGACAGCCCAAGAGGCCCCCAGGAGGCCGCAAGACGGCCCAAGAGGGCCCCGAGATGCCCCCAGGAGGCCGAAAAGACACCCCGAGAGGCCCCTAAGCAGTTCCCAAGGAGACGGCAGCGCTCGCCTAACGGCTTCGAAAAGGCAATTGGAACAAAAAGTCACCAGAGTCCTCCAGGTAACTTGTTTCTAGGCCCCAGGTGCTTTCAAACTGATTCTTCAAGCTTACGCCACATCCGCCGACCCCTTGTTTTTTTTTCTGGGGCGATCGCCGGTTTTGGGAGGGGCTCTGTTGGAGGCTCTGTGAGGCGGCCGGAGGGGTTCATGAGTGGTCTGGATGTCATCTTGGTCGATCATTTTTTTTTTTGGTTCTTCTTCCTTTCTCTGGCGCGTCGGGGTCCTCTTGGATTGCCTGTGGGCCTTCTTGGGAGGTCTCAGGGGTCGATTTGGAGCTCCGGAGCGAGCCCATGGACTTGGGCGCCTCGTGGGTCGTCTTGGCGCCCTTTTGGGGACGTCTTGGGAGCCTCTGGGCCCTGGACGGCAATGCGGGACGACGTCGCGTTCACACTGCGACGCAAAGAAGGGCACCCTGAAATGCAAGACATGCAAATGATGTCCAATCGGACGCGCGTACTGGGGAGGAAAAGGAGGAGGGGGAGAAGAGGATGGGGGGGTGGCGGAGGATGGCGGGGAGAAACATCGAAGAGGATGAGGTGAAGCGGACAGGAAAAGGAGGAGGGGGACGAGGAGGAAGTGGAGGAGAAGGAGGGGGAGGAGGGGACACTGAGATGGGCCTCTGGGTCATGGGTTAGAGCTTTCTTGCGTGTGTAACGGGATCTCTTGGGGGGCTTCTCGTGGGACAGTTTCGAAGCCTCTTGGGAGCCGTTCTGGGGCCTTGTGGGGCCCTCCTGGAGGCCTTTTGGGGCTTCTTGGGGGCGTCTTGGGAGCCTCCTGTTAATCAGCTATGCCAGTTGTCAATAAACTGAAGGTGCGCGGCGTTCAATCGAGCTTCTCGGGCTTACGCCACACCGTCGACCCCTCGTATTCTTGGGGAGTCCGACGTTGGAGCGCTCCTCTTCTCCTCCTCTTCCTCCTCCTCTCTTTTCGTCTCCTCCTCTTCCTCCTCTCCCTTCTCTTCCTTCCAATTCGTCCGCCAGGGGGGCTGGAGTCTTGAATGTCCCGAACGAGTGGTACCAGGAGAGTCGTTGGGGCCCTCCTCTTTCTTCTTCAGATGGGGTCGAACGATCCACTTCCTAGTGTGAGTCGTTGTGGGCCGTCTTTGGAGCCTCTTGGGCCCTTCGCCCTCTTGGGCTGTCCTGGGCGCCTCGTAGCAGCGTCTTGACCCCCCCGGGGGATCCGGCGCATCCGGCCGGACCCCCCCCCCCTCCAAAACGACCGGACCGGGCTCCTGGGGGAGGGGTTTGGGGAGGGGGAAGCATCTCACACGCCCATGACCCCAAGGGGTCGGCGGATTCGTCGCCCTCTTGGATCGTCGAGTTGTCGGAGGGCGCTGAGTTGGTCGGGCAGCCCTGAGCGCTGAGGAGGAGGAGGAGGAGGAGGAGGGAGGAGAGACATGGTCTCCCGCTCGGGCCGTTGAGCAGTAGCGTGGCGAGGTCTGGAGCAAGGCCGCGTGGCGCTGCGGCCTCGTCAGGGCCTTGGACGAGTTAGTGTTGCCCCGTCCTTGGCTTCTCAGGTGGGGTGGTCGCCACAGCAGGGGCCCGTCACCACGCAAGTCCGCGGTCCGGCCGCGCCCGAAAAACTCCTCCTCCTCCTCCTCCTCCTGTCTTCTGCCTCCTGCCTCCTACCTCCTCCTCCTCCTCCTGCCTCCTGCCGCGCCGCCGCGGCCAACGACCGTCGCGCGGCGTGCCTGGCGGCGCCCGCGGCGCGCGTCGGCGTCGGGCCGGGGGGCGCGGATGGCGCTGCCGCCGCCCGGGGGGACGAGCGCCGGGGCCTGGACGAGGTCATGGACGAGTTCGTGGAGGATCGCCGCCTCTCGTGTGTGTGTGTGTTTGTGTGTGTCTGTGTGTGTGTGTGTGTGTTTGTGGTATTATCGCATTGCATGAAGAACTTGTGACTTCTCACGCGTAGTCATTGTTGCTTTCTGCGCAGACTTCGGCGTCCGGGGGCCACTTACGAGCTACTGGCACCACCAGTCGGCTGCTATCCTCGTTCCTAGCCCTCAGGGGCGCGAAGATATCGCGCCTCGCAACGCGGCCTGTACCAAGAGCCCCCCTTTGCCAGGGCGGCGGCGCGAGGGTGCGCAGATAATCGCGCATCGCGGGGCGTGATTCTCGAAGTCGGGCGACCCACGTAGCTTCTAGCCCGACGAGTTTGGATCGTTGGTCAGCACTAGAGTCCTCCATATTTTTGCCGCAGGTCTCCGGCCTGGCCCGTGCCTTCAGCGAGGGAGGCGTGTCGACGATACAGTGGGGGCGCATACCAAGAAACACATTGCTTCTCTAGGGTGCCCTGGGTTTCTTGGGCTTCGATGGTTTTACGATGGAAAACGCGTCGCTCCCATGACAAAAAGCAGTGCGCATCCTGGGGTCCCAGGGTTGGGTTTCTTGTGGGAGGTTTTCTTGTGGCCGAGCCCCCACTGCAGAGCACGAACGGCCCCGTCCGGGCCATCTCGTTTCCGAGGGCTCCGAAGACTCCCAAGTCGGGCGGGACTCGATCGCTCCCGAAGCCGGTCCGCGCCACCCGGGCCCCCTCCGCCCGCGCGAGTTTCGGGCGGTCGGCAACGCAGGGGCAATAAGCGAAGGTGGAATTGAGGACTTCAGGAGAGGGGGCCCCTCACCCCTCCTCCCCCTCCTCCTCCTCCTCGTCCTCCTCCTCCTCATCCTCCTTCTCCCCCCCCACCTTTCTCCTGCTATCTCCCCTTCCTTCTCCTCCTCATCCCTCCTCCTTGTCCTCCGGAGCCCCAAGGTGCCCCAGGCTCCCCCGAAGGAACCCTTCAGGCCGCCCCAAAGTGCTCTTCTCTCCACCCCACACTTACAGTCAAAACCCATGGTAAGGAAGCAGGTCCCCTTCAAGGGCACCCCTGTTTCCCTGCCTTTCTGGCCCCCCCACGACGACGACGACAACGACGACGACGACATGATGACGACGACGACGACGACGACGGGTTGCCCGGGTCGTGCGGCTCAGGGAGACTCCCGGCAGGCCCCCGCTGAGCCTTCTGGACGGGGACGCTTTCGCTTGCCTTTCCCATTGCGTGGGTCAGCCTTGCTGTCCTGTCCCTGGTCGTTATTCTTCAACACAACTGGTGATCCGTAGCCATTGGTCCAAGCCGCAGTTTTCGCTGTCAAACACCTCGATGCCCGTGTATTGTTGGTGCGGCAGTGAGCTTGCCAGAGGACGGCGTGGCACATATGATTGTTGTCCAGTACACAGCCTTCAGCGATCTGGACGGGTGTACAAAACGTTGATGAACCCCGGAGTGCATGGAGCAGTTGATTCGACCCATTTCCCAGCGACTGTTCGTCGGCTCTGCCCCTCGTTGTTTTGCACGCTGGACAGTGAAGATTGCTGTGGGGAAATTTGGCGCTTATCGAGACGTCCAGATGTGGCGTGCTTGCGGCACTGCTCAAAAAAGCTCTACGAAATGCATCACATGTTTCCTTCGGAGCAACATGCATTGGCGTGGTTCCTGACAGAACACAGGGTGTACGATATGATGGACAATTATACAGTTGTGCAGCCTTTTGTCAGCTCGCACGTAGAGTTCACCAAGGCGAACTTGAAGAAATTCACGAAGCTTACGCTACATACAGTAACCCGTGTGAGAACATTCAGATATCGCAGGCAATGCACCACCGTGTCTGATCATCTAGCTATGAGTG